ATCCACGAATGTGATTCGGTGATATCCTGATGAGAAATACTCAGCTATAGCTCACCCTCATGGAAGTAAGCAGTTTTCGGCAGCCGTCTGCCTGGAAAGGGTGCACAGAGAGAGAGTGGTGTGAGAAATTCGATGGAGAGACAGTTGTGGACTTGGAGACAGTGAAAATGGACTATCCCAAACCACACTCACTCGAATTTTACAAACACGACTCCCATTCGAATCCTATAATATAAACGACTATGACACATGGGGTGGAAGCCGTCCTGGTGTCTGTTTGACCCCCAGTGGATCTCGTCAAATCGCTCTTGGCCAACGCTCACCACGAAGCTGATTTTCGACATCTTGTCGAAAACGGCACTTTCCTGATGCTTCGATTAGTTGATGGGTTGATTCTTTTCGAACTTGTTTGAGAGGAAACTGCAGCATACCCCTTCTACACGCAGACATACGAGTCGCCGGGTACCCCCCAGGAGGCCCGTCGCGCGGCAAGAAGGCAGAGTCGGCGGACGAGTTGCAGCGCGTGGTGTGCGATGTAGGACGTGCATGGGACACTCTATTTAACTTGACGCGAAATCCCTATAGTACGCGCGCGACTCGTCCGCTGACTTTGCCTTCTTGCCGCGCGACGGGCCTCCTGGGGGTACCCCCCAGTCGCCTGCTCATCGTGTTTGCGCAGAGTCTAGCTCTCTGAGGCATACAGTAAGTCAGGTGCTCCATCTAGATTTTCCGAGGGTGGTTTCCCAGTCTAAAAAATTACCTAGATCAATCCGTTTCATTAAGAAGTGGTCACTAGTAACTAGCCCCAGATATGAACATCATCTCAGTGAAGCTTATGGTTAGCTGCAAACTTTCACATGCGAAATCACTCAACTTTTGCGCTGTTCGGTCCGAGTTTAGTAAGGAGCGTCCTTCCAGAACACTAGCCTTATGTGCTGACTAGTGTGGTAATGCGTGAACTAAGGTCCTGTCTAGAGTAATAAGAATATATTGATAACTTACAGCCTGCTTCCGCTTGGACAACGTGTCATCGAAAAGCTGATGCGGTTGATCGATGTCGAAATGGAGTCGGTTGGAGCTATGAAGGTTACCATGCCTATTCTTGGGTCCCGTGGTCTGTGGGAAAAGGCGTCGCGATGGGACAGCATGGGCTCGGAACTTCTTCGTACGAAAGATCGCCTTGGAGCCGAGTGGTGCTTACAGGTACTCGATTATGTCCATGTGGTTCAATATGCATTTTGAAGAGGTATTTTTCTGTTCCAGCCTACCGCCGAAGAGATGTGCACTGAGTTGGTGGCAGAACTGCTTCCGCTGAAAAAGAGAATGTTTCCACTTTTGTTCTACCAGACTACCGACAAATTCAGAGATGAGATGAGTCCCAGGTTAGTTCACTAAGTACATAGTTTTACGCCAAGTTTGCTTTGACTTTCACGGTCGATGTTTTACTGTCGCAATATCGCGGGTACCCCCCCCCCCAGGAGGCCCGTCGCGCGGCAAGAAGGCCGAGTCAGCGGACGAGTCGCGCGCGTATTAGGGAAATCGCGTCAAGTTAAATAGAATGTCCCATTGCACGTCCTACATCGCACATCACGCGCTGCGACTCGTCCGCCGACTCTGCCTTCTTGCCGCGCGATGAGTTCCTGGGGGGGGGGGGTACCCCAATATCGCATTTTGACTTACTAAATTTCAAAGTAAGATTGACAACGCGCAGATTCAGGAAAGCCGATCGAGAAACAGGGGCGGGAGTACTAGGTGAGAGTAGTTGTGATGTCCTATTTGTCGGAATAAAGCCATAGAGATCGACTTGGAGAAAAATGGAGACTCACCGTGAATATATAGGAATCATCGACGACTTTAGTATCCCACGCTGGACTGTACCATGAGGGGGAAGGAAATGGCGAAGTGGAGAGGGGGAGGGGAAAGATCCTGCGCCTCATTTTTGAAAGAATTTCCACAGTTACTACCAGTAAGGACTATTCAGGTTCGGTTTTCTACGAGCGCGTCCGTTTCTGATGAAAGACCTTTACTCTTTCGACATAGACAAGGAGGCCTCCGATCGGACGTATGAGATGATTTGCGGTGTTTATGATCGTATTTTCAAGGACATCCTGGGATTGGAGACCTATAAGGTGTTTTTTTTTGGAATTTCCAAGTGCTTCCTTTCATCTGTGCTTGTTTTTTGTTGTGCTACTCTTCATTTACGATTCCTCAGGTGCCGGCTGCACCAGGAATCCATGGTGGGAGTCAGTCACACGAGTACCATCTGAAAAATCCTTTGGACGAAGATGGAATACATTTCTGCTCCAGGTAAGTGATTTAGAGGAGCATAAGGTTGTTGATATTTTCGTCTTCTTGCCATTTCAAGTTTTTTTTTATTATAGCTGCGGATCTGGTAGCAAAAGGGAAGACGGCCCACACGTGTGCGAATGTGGTGATCCCACCGCTGTGAGTACATTCTCCACCGTTGAAGTCGCCCATACTTTCCAACTCGGTACCAAATTTTGCTTTTATTGAATCCATTTCAGTAATGATAGTTTATGCGCGAGTTGGATTGTATCCACGTTGATCATGTTCTCTGTTTTTCCCTCGCGTCGCAAAACATAAAGGAAAGGTGAATTGTTGGAACTGAACAGCACTTGAAATGAGTAGGATTTACTATCTATGTGCTTGAGCGCAGGAGTCAATATCTGCTCGTTATAGTGAACGATTTCTGAAAGAATTATGAAGCAGGAAAACGTAGCGGTACTGACTCTGACTTATAGGCAAAAGGTAATGAGATCAGCTCCAGTGGGATTCCGTACTTTTGCTCTTTTCGCAAATATGTTGCGAGATTCTAGCATTTCTGAGAAGAGCAAGTATGGATTTACATTTGACTTGATCGCATGACCTCTCGCCTTTGAGTCAAGGTCACTATTGCTATGCTTAACTGGTTAATAGCATTATTTATTAAATTGTTGGGCTGATAACGGAAGCAGATTTGAACTCAGAGGCTTGAGGCACGGAAATAAGCATACATCTTATTTTAATTGGGCGGATTGAGCTATTGTCCACTCCTTGTGAAATGTTCGTGTTAGGCCTCTTTTCTTCATTTGCAATCCTGCACTTGTTGACCGAACTCCCTGAAGCCTCTCTGAAATTTAGTTGTTTTTTTTTCACGAATCCTGTGTATCGTGCATGCGATTGAATGTTCGAGTCGTAACGATTTGGAAGAAATTTGCTGCTTCCGATGTTACAAAATACTCCATACATCGCTGTTGCCAGTAGAAAAGCCATTGTACTTAATGTGTATTCTAGGAACTAAATACTCTGAGGCAATCGGTGCTGTCAACAGTGATAAGTCTCCCTTGGAAATGTGCTGTTTTGGCATAGGAATCAGTAGGTAGGAATGGCATAGTTTCTCCTATGTGATTAGTTTGCAAGGTTTTCTTTGTTAAGACTTCTCCCGGCTGTTGTTTCCTTAGTTCCCGAAGGTGAAGAACGAGTATGCTTGCCCTCCGTCATTGCTCCGTTTTCAGCCGCTGTTGTGGTCACGAAGGTGTGTTCACTTTTACGGAATTCAAATACTAACTTTATGGTTTTGTCTTCTAGAATTCTAGTGCATTCATATAAGTGAGGGAACTAAAATAAGGCCTTCTCAATGTAGTGCTTCTGCCCGGCTCACACACTTCGTGGAAAAACCTCTGTATTTGAAACCTTTCTTAGGGGCAAGTGGCACGCTTACCACGCGAGCGGTCCGGGGATCAAATCCTGGGTCGTGAGTCGCCCGGGCCAACCAAGCCTTCCATCCCTCCGGGGTCGGTTAATTGGTACCAGACTTGCCGCATCCCAAAAAGGGATTGATCAACGGCAAATGCTTTGTCCTCCATTGCTTTATCCTTTTCTTGCAAAGAAAGGGTCCTAGATGAACGGGGTCTTTTGAAGTGTGTTGTATACCATATGATGGTTATAACATTACATCGTTGATCACGAATCTTTACTCTG